ACCTCTTCTCTCTCTCTCTCTCTCTCTCTCTCTCTCTGCAACTTCCCGTTTCGGCCCATTTGTAGAAACTCTCTCTTAGCCTGCACATACCACCTACTCTCTCGCTCTGCGAAGCCTACTTTTCCCTTGAACGAATGTCATCTGCCTTTATCTCTCTCGAAACGGCGAGTGCAGGAGATATGAGAGGTATGTTTTCTTTCAACTTTGTTCATTGATCCTCGACATCTCAGCTGTAATGCTTGCGTCTTTTTTATTTTCTTTCTTTCTCCTTTTTTTTTCTTTTTTCTTTTTTTCAGTTTTGTATTTTGAGCATTGGAATGTGGGTTTTTTGGGGGGAGGAAGTAGGGAGGGGAGAAATTGGTTTTCTTTGTTTGTTTTGCATAACTAACTCTCCCTCCTTTCCTCTCTCTGTCTCTCTCTCTAGTTCTTGATCCAGGTTTAATCTTATGGAATTTTGTGATCGGAGGAAATGATCTCATTGGATGAGCAACTGCTTTTGATCGTTTAAGAATTTATTTGGTAGGGCTAGAATTAACCTGCCTCTCTCTCTCTCTCTCTCTCTCTCTCTCTCTCTCTCTCACCCCCTCCCTTAGAATTTGGTTCTCTCTGTTTCTTCTCTCTCTCAGAATTTGGTTCTATCTTTTCCTCTATTCTGTGATTTTGATTTCCTTGTTTCTCCTTCTTTCTCGCGGAATTTGGTTATTTGTTTCCCCTATGTCTGTGATTTTGATTTCACTTGGTTCCTATCTTTCTTTCTCTCAGAATTCTGTTCTATTCTCTCTCTCGGATTGAATGAGAAATCAAAATCTGAAATTTTCCCATTTGAGTCGTTTATTATTTGTTCTTTCCTTTTCAGCTGGTTGAGCTTTGTATCTTCCAAAACTAACATCTTTTACTGAGGTTTTTTGAGTTGTTCAGTTAAACAACTGCTTGGGTTTTACTCCTCTTCTCCCTCTCTTTTACATTGAGATGCACTTAGGTTGCTTCTTTTGTGTTGGTTTTTGCTTGCTAGGTAGACCGATATGTTCTTTGGAAAATTATGATTGCTTGGTTTTGAATTGGGGTCGCACATTTTATTTGAATCTATGCTTCTGAGATATGTGTAGCTTTAGTTGCCCCAGTACTGCACTGTTATGCCTTGTATCCGAGTATCTAATTGTGGTATTGTGGGTCATGCTTGAACGATGTTATGGGCCTTAAATGATGATAGGGTGTTCTTCTATTGTTAATTATGGAAAATAAAAATAAAATAGAATAAAGTTTCAAAATTTTTTTGTGGAAAATAAAATAGCTAAAAGTCAAAAGTGTTAGCATTTATGAAAATATTGTTCGATAAAATTTATGACTTTTTCTTTCATGACATGTCTTTCTGATAGCTCATAATGTGTTATAGCAACGATTGTTTAATATGCTCAATTGAATATGAATATCAACAACTTGACAATATAATTACATGCTTCCTGTCCATATTCTCTTCTTTCCGCTTCGTTCTCAAACAAAACCATCTGATAGCTCATAATGTGTTATAGCAATGATAGTTAATATGCTCAATTGAATATGAATATCAACAACTTGACAATATAATTACATGCTTCCTGTCCATATTTTCTTCTTTCCTCTTCGTTCTCAAACAAAACCATGTCAAACGAGCAAAGTGTATACCGCTGCTTGGGATTCAAGACCATAATAATTTTTGTGGCAGGGATTAATGTGTTTGTGTAACTTTCAGTGGATCATGTATAATTTTTGCTATCTATTTGTCAGTTGTGTTCCTATTTGTGAAAACAGTTATAGTTTCTGATGACCCATGATTTTTTTATTATTTTTTTTGAGAAATTTAATAATCCATATTTTTGGAATTGTAAAATCAATGTTGAATCCTTTGGCAAATGATTGTAACACCTATCACGCTTTGTCCTTCCTAGAAATCTTCTAGTTTCAAAGTCAAATGAACTTTTTCATCTTCAATTTCTTTTCTCTGAGGAAATTAGGTTTTCTTTCTCCAGGTAAGCAAAACATGTATCACTGTCCCAAGTGTTGTTACAACACGTGAGTCACACGTGGACGTAAAAAAATGCTATGCACTTTCTCAGGGGAGCAAGTGAGAATAGAGGAAGGTGGTGGTGGTGTATCCGAAAATGATATGTCTGTCAAGGAGGTTTGTGCAAATGGGCTTTGCATGAAAACATCAGAGGTTGAGGCAAAGCTCGATGAAGGGAATATTCAAGAGGCAGAGTCTTCATTGCGGGAGGGACTTTCTCTTAATTTGGAAGTGAGCATACACTATTTGACTCTTTTTTGTTTTCGATAGGTCAATAGACATTTCTTTGTTAAAATAGCTTTATTGTGCTTATAGATCGTATTGCTTGTCAGTTTACGATTTACACACACTCATATGACTATGATATCAGCCTTGTTCCCATTCAAATGCTTATTACATCATCATCATCATCATCATCATCATCATCAGTTTTTCCCAACTATTTGGGGTCGACTACAAGAATCCTGATCTGTTATTCTACTCTATCAAGGACCATACCTTCAGTGAGGCCATAGGTCCCCATATCTTTTCTCACTACTGCTAACCATGTCTTTTTGGGCCTACCCCTTGCCCTTTTTGAGCCTTCCACTTGAACCAACAAGCACCTCCTAACAATTGTTGTACTTGGTCTGCGCTGCACATGTCTAGCCCACCTATGTCTAGATTCTCTCATCTTATCACCTATTAGACTCACACCTAAGTTCTCGTTAATTTATAAATGGAAAAAGTTTATAGAAAGCTGAGGCTCTAAACAATCAAATTAGAGCTTACCTCAAAAATTTCATTAGAAGAGGTTGTTTTGATGCCCAAATATCCTCAAATTGATCATCTCGACATCAAAATGCATGGATATGAGAAAAAAATAGATTTCAAGTTCTGGAAATAGTGTATTTTATAACGCATTTTTTGACCGTCAATTTTCAAGTTTTCATAGATCTGTCGTTCTACACTATTTTTGAAGCATTAAATTTTATAAATAAAGATAAAAGTATATTTTAAGGCTATCATAAAGATTTCCAGTATTGAAACCACATTCTCAACACTATTTGAAGGTTGGCTCTAATTTGATTGTTTAGAACCTAGGCTCTATACAAACCGCACCCTTTGTAAATACCTACTACATAGCTTATGTAAATAGTTGTAAAGGTGTATCATACAATCTTACTATTTTAATATTTCATTTTTTATATATCATATTATATTGTATGGCTTCAGACGTATCAAACATCTTGTAGAGAAAGCTTACAAAAGGACTTTATCATAATTTTAGATATAATATAATATCTTGCATAGTGTTATATTTCATTCATAATTTATTTTGCTATTTGTATCATTTTATCTTAATAAGTTCCTATTGCCTACTAGTATCCAATGCCGATATTATTTTATCTATGACGAGTTATTTATATCAAAATTGGTGCCACATTCTTTTACTTTTATGAGTACATATGTCTCAAAGACGAAGTGGCTTACTTGTATTTGAAAGGATATGCCTTGCTTGGAAATTTATTTGTTAAGTGAAGTCTCAAATATTTGTGCGATTTTCTTCTTGCTTCTTTTGTTTTTCCCACCTCTCTTATAATACATTCTTTGAATGAACACAAATTGCATGATGATACTTCCATTTTAACTTTTCATTGTTATTGCAATGGAGCTCCTGACTTGAGTAGCCCTTTACCATTTTTTCATGAAATGGCAGATGAGAACCAGCTGGTACTTATGATAGTCTCGTGAACATTTTGATGGTTGAGATGTGGGTATGCTATCTCCTAAGTGTCACAAGTACTCTTGTTACTCAAATGTGCGTGAATGGGTTTTATAACTTGCATTGTACTTTGATCCATCTTGAATCATGTTTGGACTTTTAGAGTCACAGGAACATGAGTGCTAAGGTCTAGAACCATTTTGGGTGTTTATTTTCTTGAACAGTGCCTTTCAGTAAATGATCAAGAGTTTGGGTGAACCAGTTTGCCACTGAACCATATATAATGTGCTGTGAGGTTCTATGTGGATAAACTTCTAGAAAACCCTATACACGAGACTTAACAGTATTGACTTGACTAAGCTTTTCATTTGTTTTTCTTCAAAAACATTAGACTTAAAAGCGGTTCATTAGCGCTACCAAAAGTTGATCTTTTTCTTTTCTGACAAGGTGACATAGGAATGGAACTTGAGACGTTGTGATATGAACACTCAGCCTTTACTGTCTTGACCCAATCCCGATTCCTTACCAAAAGTTGATCTTTGAGTGCATACCATATCTAAACTACGTGATGACACTCTCGTAAGTGGTCACTAAATATTATGCCTCTTTAAAAAAGAATGGAATCTTAAAGTAAACTTCTAGAATACCCTATACATGAGTCGATAACAGTATTGACTCAACTAAGCTTTTTCATTTGTTTTTTCTTAAAAAAAAATTGGACCTAAATGAGGATCATCAGCACTACCAAAAGTTGATCTTAAAATTCATATTATATCTAAAGGGGAATGATTTCATGCAACGGTTGTATAGTAGTATAATGCAACCATCTTCAAAAACCATATTAGAGACGTTTGTTTGACGCAACTTTTAAATGTACATTCTTTTCATTCTAAAGAACAATCACAGAAAAGAAAATTTTGAAAAAACACCCTAGAAAAAGTTTTTCTAACCAATTAATATAAGCTGTCCATTTTAGTGAGATGGTTAGATATAGGCCTCATAAGGATTTTTTTATTCCCAAACTTTTTGTATAGCGTTATCATCATTAGATAAACCATGTTAAACAAGAAAAAGGTGATTTTGAATTTCTCAAGGCCTAGATCCTGAAATTCACCAAATGGACGGTCGAGATTCATTGCTGGAGGGTACTAATTTTGACCATATCTAGGGTGAAATTTGAATTTTGTTTTTCATAAGATTGATTATGAGGATGAAAAGAATGTGTGAGCAAAATTTGGGGTCATATAAATACCAAAAACATGGTCTTTTAGAGGTGTGGTTGCATTATACTATTATACAACCGTTGCATGAAATCATTCCCCATATCCAAAATACATGTGCCAATTTGTTGAGTTGTCCATGGGATGACACTCTCATAAATGGCATCAAATATTATCCCTTGTCAATAAAGATTGGAATCTCGAATCCATTCCTTTTTCCTGTAAAGATAACTGGATCTCTAGTCGTAGTTATAGACAACTCCAATTATTGAGACCTTGTACTTGGGTTCGGAGATCTGATTGTTTCTGAAAAGGTGGGCTTATCAAATGGCCTAGTTTTCTCAGTTATGAAAAACAAAAATTGATTAATTTCTATTAAAAAATATTGTAGAGGGAAATGATGCTTATTTAATTTTTTGCTGTGTAATAGTTCCATCAGATATTAAGTAGTGCAAACAACATGGTTCAGAACCTTCTGAGGTTTGGATAGAATCTTATCACAGCTTCAATATTTCTTTATGGCGAACTTGAATACTAAGGTTCTTTATACTACGATAGTTTATACTTTATATTGCAATACACATCTCATGCTTTAAGATATTGGTCAAGTCCTCAACAGCCATTATTATTTTTCTCTTTATAAAAATCCTTGTTATTCCCTTTTGACTTCACCGATTATCTGTAATGTTCTCACCCACTTCTTTATTGATTCAATTTTCCATTAGTATCAATATGGTACACAAAAATTCTGATCAATACAAGATATTTACCCACCAAAAAAAAAAGTTCATTGTCACGTGTCTCAGATTGGCCCTCTTGAGAGCATTAATGTATATTTTTAAGCATGTGTATTATATCAGCATCTTTCTGATATATAGAGATATTGTATGCCATAAGTGCTGGAACCCAAACCTTGTCAAAACTACCATTTCCTTATCTTTGTTGCTACAACTGCTCCTTGCCACCATGTCCTTGATGTACTTAGCAATAAACTGAAACTGATCCACTAACATACTGAAACTGATCCACTAACATATGCTACACCTATTGCCCTAAACGGAAAGGACCAACTACAAATGCTGAGCTTTCAATTTTTATTTTATTTATTTTTTAACCCGTACCGACCTGTGCAATCACATGCAATGGTCGGTTGGATTGATAAGAAATTTTTGTACACCCAATTGGTTCAGTCTCTATGCAATTATGGCTGGTGGTTAAAAGCTTTGAAAATGTTGGGAGAGCAGTGAGGAAAATACAGGGTTAGGTTATTGGGTTTATCAAAAATAGAAGAGGGAAGAGGGAGAAAATACTTGAACATGATTGTGTGATTTATTTAGGCCAGTCAACAAGGAAAAAAAAAAAATTATTGAATCTGGGCCGATCTGGCGGTCACGACATCTTTTCGTGTTTGAAATTTAATTTTTTTTTCTATAAATCCAAATCACTTGAAATTTTAGGTGTATGTTCTTCTCATCAATGCACACCTAATAAAAATATAAAAAAAATAATCCCCAAAAAAAATTGATCAAAATACCCCTGAAACTCTACAGGGGTATTTTGGTCAAATTTTTTCATGTAAAATATTTTTTTTATATTTTTCAAAGATTTACCTATTTTAAATATACACACGCTCCAAATTTCAGATCATTTTGATTTGTAGAAAAAAATTAAAATTCAAACACTACCGGACATCTAGGATCGTCAGATCGGTTCAGATTCAATTTGGGCCATTGGAATTTACTGTAGCAGTATGCCATTGGACTGACAGGATCTTTTCCCTATATATATATATATATATATATAAAAGGAGGGGAGTGACATGAGGAGGGGTGGGATGATAGATTTCACGGGTTTTTAATGCCTCATGTTGGTAAAGAAAAGGGTTGAAATTGATATCATTTTAAGGGGTTAGTACAAAAATTTCCCAACCCAAAACCGTTTACCATAGGGACAATTATAAATGGAGTCCAAATATTGCTTGGTGCTCCAATCCCGTCATCTCATATATGCTATGTTCAAACGAA